AGTGAAGGTTAAGAACCACTGCAATAGAGGGTGAGTGCGCATTGTTGGAGGTGTGAGCAACGTTGAACAACCCTGTGGCCTGACTTGGTCATACTAAATTTCGATGTAAAGCTTTCGTGACTGCAGGGATTCATCTTCTCGGTTCTTTCGGTAAAGTCACCACGTAGAAGAGAACTAATAAAATAATAAAAATAAAACAATAAAATAATTCTCACGACGTTTCGGCCACAACGCAAGCAGCCGTCCTCAGGCGAAGACCAGGCCTGAGGACGGCTGCTTGCGTTGTGGCCGAAACGTCGTGAGAATTATTTTATTGTTTTATTTTTATTATTTTATTACTTCCCTTCTACGTGACTTTACCGAAAGAACCAAGAAGACTCGTCATACTATATTAGGTAAAAGTTTTGCTGGCTAGCTGGAGGTTTGGTGGGAAGGAGGGAGGGAGGGTGGGTGGGACGGAGGGTTTCGAATGAGTTGCTGGCTGCTACTTTGAATTAAAAGCGGGGCATCCTAAAAATACTGAGAGGGCGGATAGAATAAGGGCAGTGCAGCACGTGAATCAAACTTTAAATAAATGGCGAGGCTAATTGAAATGAGTCACGCTGAGATCTGCTTCGCGTCTCGGGCTCTCACCGCCTGTGAGTACGAGCCGTGCCGCGAAGCGCATCGCTTAATTGTTCTCGAAGCATTCAAAGTGGACCTGAGCTTTCGGCAGGGGGCGGGGGGGTGGTGGCTCGGCCCCCCTCCCACCCCTTCCCCCTTTGCTACGGGGCTGCCGTGAGAGCTCGGAGCTGGTAGGGCTGATGGCTCGGGCTGTGTGAGCCTGACCGTGCGCCTGATGCCGACAGCTACACGATGACAGAATCTGATCACAGCATGGGCTCAGTGCAGTCTCTCTCGCTCTCTCTCCCGATGCCTGCAGACACGTGGGTGCGCGCGTGTGTGTGTCTGTGTTATCTGTGTGTGTGTGTTGTTGTTGTGGGGAGCGATAGTGTAGCGGTTAGCGCGCGGCGCATCCGGGTTCGATTCCCGCTCACGGCCAACATCAGTGACGATTATCTGAACCGGTCCCGGGCCTCTCCTAGGTTGACTCAGCCTCAAATGAGTACCTGGTGCGGTGTGTAAACATCGTGACTAGGGAGACAAAGGCGGTCGGGCGTGGTGCTGGCCACCCATCCCCTCGTGTGTCGTTCCGGCCTTCATAGGTACTCGCTAACAGCACTTGCCCCAACAGTCTGTGAAGGCTATATGGGGGGTCTTTTTGTTGTTGTTGAGTGCGGTGGGGGTGGGACGGTAGCGGTTAGGGCGCTGCGCTACGAACCCGGCGACTCGAGTTCTACTCCACCTCACGTCCACCGCCGGTGACGAGTATCTGAACCGGTCCTGGGTCTCCCCCTAGGTCGACTCCGCCTCGACTGAGTACTTGCTGCGGGGTGTAAACATCAACACTAGGGAGACAAAGGCGGCCGGGCGCGGTGCTGGTCACCCACCGCCCCGTCACGCGTCAGCGTCGGCCTTCGTCGGTGTTCACACTCGCCAACAACACTCGCCCCAACAGTCTGTTAGAGGCACCACGGTGGGGGGCGGGGGGGTGGAGAGGGGGGGGCACATGTGTGAGTGGGAGAGTGAGCGAACGAGCGAGTGAGCGGGCGAGTATGTGTGTGTGCGAGTGGGTGTGTGTGCGAGTGTGTGTGTGCGAGTGTGTATGTGTGTGTGGGTGTGTGTGCAAGTGTGTGTGTGCGAGTCGGTGTGAGTGTGTGTGCGAGTGTGTGTGTGTGCGAGTGTGTATGTGTGTGTGCGTGTGTGTGAGTGTGTGTGTGTGCGTGTGTGTGTGCGAGTGTGCAATGTGTGTGTGTGTGCGTGTGTGTGTAGTGTGCGTGTGTGCGTGTATGCGAGTGTAATGTGTGTGTGCGTGTGTGTGCGAGTGTGCGAGTGAGTGTGTGTGCGTGTGTGCGAGTGTGTGTGTGCGTGTGTGCGCGTGTGTGCGAGTGTGTGCGAGTGTGTGTGCGAGTGTGTGTGCGTGTGTGCGCTGGCGGCTCGGCTGTGAGCGGATGACACTCTAGACGCAGGTCTTGGGTTGTTCGCCGTTAAACGTCACTCCGTGTCATCGCACCCCGTTTATGTGTCTCTCTCTCTCTCTCCCGGGCACCCTAATTATCCCCGCCGCGTTGTACGTGTTGCATAACGACGCGTGTGCGAATGCGCGTTCTTGTTTCGTGGTCGTGCGTGGGTTTTTGTGTTGTTGTTGTTGCGGTGGTGGTGGTGCAGCGGCGTTCATCAGCAGCCATGCGTGCGAAAGAAATACTGACAGTTGAGCAGATAGTATTAGTGTTGGCAAGTCATCGGCGTTGGTAAATGTTATTGGTAAGTGGCTTACCTCTACACTGTGGGCAGTCAGTCTATAAAACAACGCTATAAAACGTATATTGTATACAACCTCATCCGACAACTTAAATGACTTCACTCGATTCAAGGGTAAAGCTTGTACATCCACGCAATTGCTTTCCATGTGTTCGTCATCATCACCATCATCATCAACATCATCATAATAATCACCATCATCATCATCACCATCATCAAAATCACCAACACCATCACCACCATAATCATTCTTCACCGAATAAATTTTGGTTTTCTATTGTAAATTATACCGATCAAAGGTGCCGTGTTTAGGGGTACACGTACATAACGAATGGCTTTGACTCCAAACTATTGCGGCTCGGACTTAAACGAGCATGCGACGCTGCGTGTAAACATCCTCGCTGGGGAGACAAAGACGGCCGTGGCCGAGGCGCCTGACCCACGCGACCTGCTCGCGAACCAAACCCGCCCCACGTGCAGATTCATCAACGTGCATTTATTCACGTGTTTTATTTTCAACTCGATTACAGTCTGTAACGCGGTCACATTTTACGACTTTGTTACCGCTTGTTTTAAGCAGGGTTCTGACAAATTTTCGTCACATTAGTGGGGGTGGTGGGGTGGGGGGCGGTGGTGCAATGTTGCTACTCAGTTTGTGACCCCCAGCTGCATGCTTGTTGAACTTCTTTCGCACCGTACGTAGCCAACCGGGCGAATCGGTGGTCGAGCACGATTGTTGATATGCAGGTTGTTTTTTTTTACGTTGGGATCTTTTCACCGATACCAGACACATTGCATGTTTTCGCTGTGGGAGGAAATCGAACATATGTGAATGAAACCTCCGCAGAAGAGGGGAGGGGGGAGAGAATGTACAAACTCCAAAGTTGCCCGAGTCCGGAGTCGAACCCAGCCGCGTGTTGCCGTGAGACATAAGTGTAATCAATGCATCACCCTGCCGTCCACTGTAACGGCCCCTCCACCCCTCCTCCTCATCCAGCAGTGAATTGACAAAGAACTAACAATAAAATAATAAAAATAAAACATAATATAATAATTCTCACGACGTTTCAGCCACAACGCAAGCAGCCGTCCTCAGGTGAAGACCAGGTCTGTCGGGGAGACAGCGTCTGACAGACCTGGTCTTCACCTGAGGACGGCTGCTTGCGTTGTGGCCGAAACGTCGTGAAAATTATTTTATTATGTTTATTTTTATTATTTTATTATTTCCCTTCTACGTGGACTTTACCGAAAGAACCAGAAGATGAATCCCTGCAGTCACGAAAGCTTTTAAATCGAAATGTAACTCTGAACAAATGCACGCGTTCACGAAGATGCCTGTTCTCTCTGTGAGTGAGTGGGCAGCGGTAGTGTAGTGGTTAGCGCTGCGCTGCCCTACGAACCCAGCCACCCGAGTTCGATTCCCGCTCGCGGCCAACGCCAGTGACGATTATCTGAACCGGTCCTGGGCCTCGCATAGGGCGACTCAGCCTCAAATGAGTACCTGGTTCGGTGTGTAAACATCGCCACGAGGGAGACAAAGTTCGACCGGGCGTGGTGTTGGCCACCCACCCCGTTGCGTGCCGTGACGGCCTCCATAGGTGCTGTCAAAATCAATCTGGGGGATCTTTGTCTTTGTGTGTGTTTGTAGCGGTGGGTACGATTCGACACCCGGCGAGGTGGGTACAATTCTCGCAGGTGGTGATGTTTGTGTCATGACAATAGTGGAGTGGGTCGGTGGTCTTGATGAAGATTACGGTGGTGGTGTAGAATCAGCCGTGGAAGCCGGGCGATGTGCTGGCCACCCGCCCTCTCGTGTGCCCTGCCCGGCTTTCGTAGGTGCCCGCTAACAACACTTGCCCCAACAGTCTGTTCAGGCTATACGGGGGAGCTTTGTCTTGAGTGAGTGTGAGTGAGAGAGGGAGAGTGCCCATATGTCATCATCGTCTCCCAGTACCATTCAATCGTCTCTAGTCAGTCATACTTATTTTTAAGTTGACATTTCCTTCGGTTTCTTCTTCCAACACCTCCCCCCCCCCTTAAAAACCCTCGTCCCCCTCCACTTTAACCCCAAACCCAAGCCTCGCTGTGGCATCTGTAACCTTCATCGATGCCCCTTCTGCTCTCCCCCCACCCCTCTCTCTTCCTCTCCCCCTCCTCTCCTCCTGCCCTCTCCTCCCCCTCCTCCCCCCCTCCTGTCCCCCCACCCCCTCTCCCCCCACCCCCTCTCCCTTCCTCTCCCCCTCTTCTCCCCCCACCCCCTCTCCCCCACCCCTCTCCCTTCCTCTCCCCCTCCCCCCTCCTCTCCTCCTCCCCTCCCCACTTCCTCACTTCCTCACTCCTCTTCCCTCGCCCGTTTCATCCCTTCCCTTCCACTCTCCTTTCCTCTCGGCTTCCCTTCTTCCTCCCCTCTCCCCTCCTCTGATCCCATCCTCTCTCTGCCTCCTCTCCCTCCCTGCTCCTCCCTACCACTCCTCGTCTCTCCTCTCCCACCACCTCTCCCCTCCTTCTCCCTCCCTTCCCTCTCTTCTCCCTGCTGCTCTCTCCTCCTCTCCTCCCCTACTCCCCACCACCTCTCCCTCTATCCCTCTCTCGCTCTCTCCCCTACACCCCCCCCCACCACCCCACCCCCATTCAAACAGACGGAAGAGACTGAATGCTCCCCCCTGCACCACCCAGCCGCACTGGTGGAGGGAGGAGAGATGAAGCCTCAGCCCAAGCGTCTACACATCTCCAACATCCCTTTCCGCTTCCGAGACCCCGACCTCCGGCAGATGTTTGGGGTCAGTATCCACGACTCGGCGAAGATTTTATTGCCGTCGTTTTGTCGCGAAAGGTTTCGGCGAGCGTCCGTCAGGGTATCGATGGTGTGGCAGAGGTAGCGGAAATAATCTAAACTAAATGTTGTTTTACTAATAGGGTTCTTCCCCTTTTTTCTGGCAACAAAACTGACATCTTTTGCAAGGAATCATGTTTACATTAACCACAATACTTGCAATCAAATGCAAGTATTTTTTTGCATTTGACTGCAAGTATTGTGGTTAATGTAAACATGATTCCTTGCAAAAGGTGTCAGTTTTGTTGCCAGAAAAAAGGGGAAACCCCCTATTAGTATATTTTGGTACTGGCAAAGGAGGTCCCATGATAAATGTTGTTTTGTTATTTCATCAAGTAAGGGTCAATTGAGCTATAGAGCTACGTTGCAGATGCGACCTGACTATCACAAATGGTAGCTCAGCGAAGTGGTTTGTTATCACGTGGACATTCACAGCATCGAAAAAAAAACTGTAAACGCGTGACGTCGATTCTAAATGCGGAGGGGAAAAAACCAGAGGACCCGGGAGAAAAATCCACGCGACCACGGGGAGAGAGACACGAAAACGCCAATTATAGAGCGGACGTCAAGGTCGGGATCGAACCCGCGTCCTCCTTGCGTGCCAGCCGAGGTAGTTAACATCTCAGTTCAGTTCAGTTTTCATGTATTCGGTATAGCCCTGTGAGCCATTCGGCTCTTGAATCGGGTGCAACCGCAACAAACAAAACCGTGAACAAGAAAACATCTTAAAGTGACTACACGCAAACAGAAAAATCCAGGAAAAAACAACAGCAAAATCTTCCAGAAAAAGCACCGTATATCAACGCTGTGTGCAAAAATCCCATTGGCATGCAAGTCAAACAATAACAACCACAAGACAATTTAGATTAAAGTTATCAGTCTAACTCTGTACAACAACAAACAAATATGGATAGTCCAAAACGTTTTCGAAATCAACAAAATAAAGAGATAAAAAAACACCGTAGAGAGAGCCGGAGGACAGGGAGGGAACGGAACAGAGCGAAGAGCGATCACGGCATGTGAACATGAGAGCAAGCAGAGCTTCGCGGCAGGGATGGGGGTCACGGTTAGGGTTGGGGTCAAAGGGTCAAGGTCATGGTTGGGGCTGGGTGTTGGTCTATGGGCGTGGATAGGGCGGTGGTTGTTGCCTCGTTGAGCAGTGCGCTTGCGTCCTCGAGAGGTCAGGGAGCAGTGGCGCGGCGATTAGCGCACAGCGCTGTAGACACGAGCCACCTGAGTTCGATACGCCACCCTGCGCTGTCATCAGCTATGATATCGGAACCCGTTCTGAGCCGCCACGCCACCCCCTTCACCAATCCGCACTGACCAGCGTGGTGAAGTATGGTCAAATCTGAAGTTCAAGTTCATTTATTAGGTATTGCCCTGTGAGCCATTCGGCTCTTAAATCGGGTGCAACCGCAACAAACAAAAAACAAAAACATGAACAAGAAAACATCTTAAATATCACCCCCACCCCTCCCCCATGACTGACACAGCTTGTGCCGGCAGCATTCATCATGCAGAGTTGACAAGAGGGGGGGGGTGTTGGGGTGACTGGGCGGACTGTATTCACAAGTCTGTCCTGGCCCCGCATTGCAATGCATGGTCCTTTTAAACAGCTGTTCAATTCTCACGTCCAATGTCGCAGCGAAATCCACTCCTGACTTTGGTTCCCTGCCCTTTCTGGTGCCCGCGCTCGAGGGGAGACCCCCCCCCCCCTCTCCAGCCCCCCCCCCCCCCCACCACCGCCACCCCAGGTACACGCGTGCTCCTTTGCGCGGACGCGGCAGCTGATTCATTTTGCGGAGTTCATTTTTTTTTCTTTCACTATTTGGGCGACGACGCAAACGCGCGGACACCCACAGAGAGAGAGAACGAGGCGAACAGCCAACAAGTCGTCTGGAGATCGCGATCTCGCCGCTGCCACAGCCACCCCTCCACAGCCCTGTCGCTTCATCGTTCGCTGGTTTCGCGGAGAGTGCGGAACAGCAAACGTGATCAAACGCGGCTCCGGCCCGAGCTGGGGCAGCGGGGAGAGCGCGGCCGCCGATAAGAAGAGTTGTCGCAGCGCTATGCAACGGCAATCGGAACGCATTCCGTTTAGAACAATGCCGAACGAAACGAAGAGATGGCTGTTGTCGCCAGGCTACTGCAAGGGGTTACGCGAGCGAGCTAGCAAGAGAGCATGTGCCAGGGATCGCCCCTTCCAACCCCCCTCTCTAAGTCATCGTCATCATCATTTACTTGATTATCCAAGAGAGCGCCACGCTGAGTTGTAGCGCTCTTTGCCAAGAGGCCCCTGACACATTGGTTGCGTTTATTTATTCATTCCACGATGCTATCAGCCAACGAACGATGATGTGTGTTTATTTTTAACTTGTGGGAGAAAACCGGAATAGCCCGAGAGAACCCGCGCCCCGCGCGAGGGGTTAACACTCAATCTCCCCCGTACAGATGGACACAGATGGCAATTAGTCCACTTGCTGTACCGTTTTCACCCGGCGAGCCAGGCGTACGGCTCCTCCTCGAAATATCCGTGCAGTGATCCAACACCAACCCTCGCCGCTTGCCTCCACAGCCCTGGCTCGCATGTGCCATAGCCACCACTGCCCGACTAGGTCACCGTGGCGATACGGATTGCACGGGCGTTGGAAGGCTGTTTCTGTACGGCTCACCGACATATCGTGTGGGTTGTGCCGAGCGTTGTTGCTCGGCACGAAGTCCGACGTTTCGCTCCGCGTGCCGGGAGCGTCTACAATAAGCGAATTCGGTTCCACCCATGAAAGATTCAAGCCTTTGCTCTACGCTTATGCGCTCTCGATCAACCGGGGGAGATTCAATGCGCACGTTAATTCATGCGCTAGCACGAGGCTGCCATGATTAGCATCCATTTCACAAAGGAGAACTGGGGTGGAAGGGAAACCTGGGGGTGCAAGGGAGACCTGGGATGCAAGCAAGCCGAAAATGCACATTCTGTAGAAAATCGGTGCAAGGAAATACACGAGACGATCGTTAAAATCGCCAGCGACGAGGGTGTAAAACTTCCGCAACTCGGCGAGAGACGAATGATAGACGTGAAAGTGCGCACAGAAAAAATCAAACGCAAAAGGTGCGCGCTTCGAAGTACTGCAACCTCGAGACGGCACGAGGAGCGGGGAGCGCTCGCCAGCGGGAGAGACGCGGACGTTGCCTTCCGACGGTGGTCGATGGTCGAGACTGGCGATGGAGCGACAGCCGGAGGATGGAACGAGTCAAGAAGAGGGGGCACGATCACGTGAAACGGATCCTCACCGGAGATGGATGTCTCCCTTCATGGGGCCGTTCTCCAGCGCGCGTTGTCAAGCGTCGCTTATTAAATGAACTGGGAGTTCCGATTCGACCCCGAATCTCGCGACCCGCTACCGGGAGCACAATTGGACGAAGACAAAAGCCCCCCCATCAAATTGGCGAAATGGACAAAGCAGCAGCGTGAGCCGCGGTGGATGAGTTTTCGAAACGTTTTGAAGAACGAGGATGACGATGAGGACTCCGTGTGTGTGAGTGTGTGTGAGAGTGTGTGAGTGTGTGTGAGTGTGTGTGAGAGTGTGTGAGTGTGTGTGAGTGTGTGTGAGTGCGTGTGAGTGTGTTTGTGCGTGTGTGCGTGTGTGTTTGTATTAGTGGCCAACACGAGTGGGGATTATCTGAACCGGTCCTGGGCCTCCCTTAGGTCGACTCAACCTCAAATGAGTGCCTACTGCGATGTGTAAACATCGCCACTATGAAGACAAAGGCGGCCGGGCGTGGTGCTGGCCACCCACCACTTCGTGTGCCGTGCCGGCCTTCATAGGTTCCTTCTAACAACACTTTCCCCACCAGTCTGTTCAGGCTATACGGGGGATCTTTGTCTTGTGTGTATGAGTGAGTGTGTTTGTGAGTGTGTGAGTCAGTGAATGTGCGTGAGAGTGTGCGAGTGAGTGTGCGTGTTCGTGAATGTGTGAGTGTCAGTGTGCGTGTCAATTTGTGGAGCGGTAGTGTAGCGGTTAGCGCGTCGCACTCCAACCCCGGGGAGCCGAGTTTAATTCCCGCTCGCGGCCAACACCAGTGACGAACATCTGAACCCGGTCCCGGGCCTCCCCTAGGTAGATTCAGCCAAAAATATCTAACTGGTGCGACGCGTAAGCATCGCCACTGGGGAGACAAAGACGATCGGGCAGTGGTTCTGACCACACCACCCCCTCGCGTGCGGTGCCTGCCTTCAATGGTGATCGCTAACAGCCCTTACCCCAACAGTCTGTTAGGGCTACACGGGGGGAGGCGGGTGGGTAGGAGAGTAGGTGGTCATCACAGAGGCCACCGATGGGGAGGTGGGTGGATAGGGGGGGAGGGGTGGTGCAGATGTTCACCAGCTGGGGGGGGGGGGTCATCTCGTTATTAAGGCCGTCGCGGTCGGGGTCAGGGGCAGATGATTAAAGGTCACGCGACCGGGAGTGTGATATTGCGTTGCGCTCCAACACTCCGCGCTTATTGCGCCGTCGCCTGCAGAGGGTGCGGACGGAGGTGGCTGGGGTGGTTGCGAGTGGCGCGTTATTATATCCTGGCCTCTTTTAATGGGATGGGGAGTGGGGGGAGGAGGCGCTACCCCGTAACTGGGAGCGCTCGCTCGCTCGGCCGTTACGCCGCGTTCCCGTCGCTGTGCGGTTGTTTCGGGCGCTGGAATTGTTTTTTTGTGGTTGGTGGTGGTGGTGGTGGTTTTTCTTGTTGTTGTTGTTTTGGCCAAAATAGTCGCGAGAATTAGGGGGCCCGGAAAAACGCCCCCGTGGAAAATTATTGTGAAGAATGAGTGACCCCCCGCTCCTCCTCCTCCCACGGGAGCACGACCTGGAATTCCGAGCTCCAGATAAGCAGTCGCCGGAGCCGGGTTCTTGTATAATGTGTTGTTGTTGTCGTTGTTGTTGTTGTTGTTGTCGTTGTTGTTTGTGATCTCATCGTCTGGCGGTTTTTTGTTTTTTGTTGTCGTTGTTGACGTGCAGCAATTTGGGAAAATCTTGGACGTGGAAATCATCTTCAACGAGAGGGGCTCCAAGGTGGGTGCCGCACGCGCCACACAGAGAACAATCAGTAGCGACCCGACCGCTGGAAACAGCCCCGGGTCTGACTCAGCCTATAAATGAGCACCCGCTGCCGTGTGTGGACGTCATCACTGGGGAGACAAAGGCGGTCGAGCGTGACGTTGACGTCACCCACCACCGCGCGTGCCGTTCCGGCCTTCATAGGTGCTCGCTAACAGCACTTGCCCAAACAGACTGCTAAGGCTATACGGGCATCTTTGTCTTTTGTGCACGTGAGTGTGCGTGTGCGTGCCACGGCCGTCACGAGCGCCGCGAGTGAATGACACAGGAGCGAACGTGACTGATGATGATGGCGATGATGATTGTGACGACGACGACGACGACGATGATGATGATGATGGAAACCAATCACGCGGCCAGGTGTTCCGCATGCGGCGGAGAACAAAGTGGAAACGACAGCTCATAAATGAAGTGACAACTCATAAATGAAGTAGCATCTCATAAATGCTGCATGGGGTTTCTGCTAAATTAGCGCGGCACCTGTGGGGCTCCCTCCCCCCCCCCCCCCCGTGGCGGCGCCGAGTCTCAGAGTGGCGTTCACGGCCACGTGGTTATGGTGGTGGTGGCCGTGTTGATGGCAGAGATGTTGATGGTGATGTTGGTGGTTGGGGTGGTGACGATGGGTCTGACGGTAATAGTGGCGATGATGGTAGTGGTGGTTGATGGTGGTGATGATAGTGGTCGTGATTTTGGTGGTGATGGTGGCATTGTTGATGGTGTTCATAATGATAATGGTGGTGGTTATAGCGGTGATGGTAGTGGTGGTTTGGTGGTGGTGGTGATAGAGGAGGCATAAGCAGTGGTGATGATTATGGTAGTGATTATGATGGTGGTGGTGGTGGTGGTGATGATGATGGTGATGACCGTGGTGGTGGTGGTATTAGTTGTGATGTTGCTTATGATGACGAGAACGACGGTGGTGTTGTTGGCCGTGATGGCGGTATTGGTGATGATTGTGGTCATGGCAGTTGTCGTGGCGATGGTGTTGATGGTGGTTATGGTGGTAGTGGTGGTGATGATGATAGTGGAGACGATAATAGTGGTATTAGTAGTGGTAGCGGTGATGGGCGTGGTACTCGTCGGAATGGTGGTGCTGGTGATGATGATGGTGATTGTGATGATGATGGTGGCGGCGGTGGCGGTATAGGAGAAGGAGGGAGGGATAGGTGGCATGGGAACGCTGTTAATTTTCCTGCAAATCAATCATTTTCCTGTGGGAACCTCTCTTTCTGATGAGTCGTTCCACTGCTGCTGCATGGGGGACCAAGGCAATTGTGCGGACCAACAAAAAAAATATACAATCATAAAATTGGTGGGGTGGGAGGTGGAGGGAGGGGGCCTTCTGTTCATTACCACCGCCTCCTCCTGCTTCACCCCCCCCCCCGCCGGCCCCGCTCGTCTCACCGTGCCCCCCCCCCCCACCAACGCCACCCCCCCCCCCACGCCCCCCCCCTCGCCCCCACCTGTTTCGTGGCGTTTTCTATTGCTGTGAGAATTCATTTACAAATACTGCATGCCCACGCACGCACCCCACACGCACATGCGCATCACACACACACGCGCACGCACACACGCGCACGCACACCCACACACACACGCGCACACGCGCACGCACACATACACTTACACACACACGCACACACACGCGCACGCACCACCGCGCGCACTAAACGCACCACGCGCACCAATCCGCAAGAAATCCCGCACTCACCGCCCCACCGCTGGGCCTCTCCGGACGCTTTAGATTCCCGCTGTCGTTGTTTGCAAAGAATAGACCCTGGGCACTTGCCGCACCCCCCCCCCCCCCCCCCCGTGCACACAGCCTCCGCTTGCCACCTGTCCTGGATTTCCCAGGACTGTCATCTGTTTGCGGGAGCTGTCCTGGGGAATATCCCCCCCCCCCCGCCCGGCCAATCGCAATTAGACGGGGAGAGATCAACTTCTCAGCACGTCTCATTCTCGGATGACGTCGTGTTTTCTTTCCCGATCATCGTGAATTTTGGCCTCCGTAACGCTCGTAACTCAGGGAGTAGCGGGAGAACAGGGTGAGATGTGGAGGGAGAGATACGCTCGACATCCCCAGGAAAAGAAAAACTTTCTCCATTAAAGTAACATCTCTTGTTTCTTATCTTTCATCATTTCCCCCCTCGCTCGCTCTCCTAAATAGTTATGTTCTTTTGAGTTATAATTTAAGTTAAGGGGTTGCCGGAGGAGGCAGAAGTTTTGCCAATCAATGACAAAATTTGTACAGAAAGGCCGAGAGAGAGAGAGAGATAGAGGGAAGGAGAGAGCGAGAGAGCGAGAGAAGGGGAGTGGAGGTGAGTGCCGGTGCGAGTGTAGGCAGTGGTGGGAATCGTTCGCGCGCAAATAAATCACAGGGCACGCGGCACCGCGGTGCACACACACCGTGAGAACTGCCCGGGACTCCGTGTGATTGGTTGGGGCTGGGGAAAGACCCCGTGGGGAGTTCACCTGTCAACAGCACAACAAGGCGCCGCTCGCCTACAGCACGGAACAACCGCGTGCGTCGTTTCCACGAGCGCTGGGGTGAACTGGGTACCGGGCCGTGCCAGTCCAGGAACGGCCCAAAAGCTGCGGAACGACTGGGGGACGTGTGCCACTCGAGGATGCCTCCCGGTGTGCTATTTGGTCACCCATGGATCGGTGATCGGTCAGCATCGAGGAGGAGATGGAGCGATTGAGGACGTGAGCTCGTGTGTGCGGGTGCTTCGGTAGATCGTTGCATCCAGAAGTAGATTGACCATGGCTGCTGCTGTTGCTGATGATATTAAATATGAATCGCTGCAGCCGAAACCTGTGGATTACGGAATTATGCAGTCCACGGCACAATACCCAACACCCCCCCAGTCCCTCCGGCCTCACGCCACCGCTGGACAATGACTTCGTACACCACCTGCCCCCTACCCCCCTCTCTACTCTTCCCCGTCGATATTTCTTTCTCTGCCGCCGCTGCCGCTGCCTTGACCACGCGCGCGTAATTCATCATCGCGCTGATCAGATGGGGGAACGTGTTGCTCGTCAGGGCCCGTGGGCACTCCGCTTGGCGCGTTCAGAGTCACGGACGCGTGTCTCGCCGTGCCAGGCGAGGTGGTGTCCGCGTGGGGCTTTTGTCTTGGTGCGCGCTTGGGGAGCGGTGGCGCAGCGGTTAGCGCGCTGCGCCAAACGAACCCGGGCCACCCGAGTTCGATTCCCGCACGCGGCCACCAACGACGATTACACTGGTTAACAAAAAAAAATCTGGCCTGGACTTTTGCAGCTGTTTTAGACTAATTTCAGGGTGCTGATTCCAAATCTGATCTCAGATTTGCTCTATCACATCTCATTTTTATGCTATCGGCATACCCCATTTTCATTGATTTTACCCGAAATTAACTCTGTCACTTATGAGTGCAAGTTGTTGCAAGTCAGTGACTGCTTTAGTGTTAAAATATGGTGCTGTATTTTTAGGATAGTGTGTTTATAATATCATTTTATGTAGATATCCACATTTATTTCAAAATTTTCTTTTGCAGTTTTTTATAAAAAAATTCAATATTTGATATCTCAAAAACCTGATGCCAGATTTGGAATCAGCACCACAAAATTACCTTACAACCGTTGGAATACCTTATGCCAGAAAAAGTGTGTTGACCAGTGTTATCTGAAGCGGTCTTGGGCCTCCCCTGGCTCAACTCTGGTTTACGTATCAGTACCTAGCGCGGGGTACATAAAACATGGACACTGGGGAGACAAAGGCGGCCGGGCGTGGAGTTGGCAACCCACCCCTTCGTGTGCCGTCCCGGTTTCAACAGGTGCTCGCGAACAGCACTCGCCCCAAGAGTTTGTTGAAGACTGTACGGGGCATGTTTGTCCGTGTGTGTGTGTGCGCGCGTGCAATCCAGGGCTTCGGCTTCGTGACATTTGAGAACAGCGGGGACGCGGAGCGGGCGAGAGAGAAACTCCACGGCAGCATCGTGGAGGGCAGGAAAATCGAGGTGCTGCCACCCCTCCGCTCCATGCAATCAACTCCACGTTTTAGTTGTTGCTGTTGTTGTTTCTTATTTCTATTTCGGCCGTATTTCGATTCGCTTATGAGTGCTTTTGGAAATATGTTACAATTTGTTGTTGTTTTGCACGAGTGTATTATCGGGATATGAAGAAGGGCCATTGGGCAAAAAGTCGCAGATTTTATTTATTAATTTTAAGGCTACCACTGTTGTTGACGAATGTCGATATTTTTTTTAATCCGGCGGTGACGCAGCCCAGAGGTAGCGCACTTTCGATGGTTCTGTTGCAGAGGTTTAATGGTTCAAATCCAGCGGCCGCCCTGGTTATGACTGCGGGTGTCACAATAATAATAACACTACGCAACGTTCTGATTCACTCACAGTAGACGTTAAAGATCCCGTGGTGTCACGCGCAAGAGCTTAGGCCATCTGTTTGACAGCGTCAGGGTTTCAATTTGGAAGCCCTCATGTATAAGCGTGGAAGGCTCCCTTCTGGCAGGAGAAGGTCACGGCGCAGACCCAGTGCGTTATGGGTTGATTGACTGAGTTGATTGACAGATGCACTACCTGTGCCCCCACTGTCCCAACAGTCATCCACACACGTGCACGCGCGCGTGCTAGCTCCCTGCCCTTGACGTGCACAGGGGACGGTGGCGTCGTTCCCGCATGCGACACCGGCGCTATTTGAATGAGCAGAGCGGGTGGTGGCGGTGGCGGCGGCGGTGGCGGCGGCTATGCCGCTGTACGTGGCTGCCTGTAATCCGGCGAGGCGGAGGCAGCGATGGCTGGTGGATGGTCGCACAAATGTGGCGAGACTACCTTGCCCCGTGGGCCTCCATGCAGCGCCGTACCTTGGCTCTGGAGCAGGAGACGTCGGAATGGCAAAACAATGTAGATTCCACCCGTTCCGTTTGTAGGGGGATAGAGCGTCTTCCCCTCGCACGCGTGGGGTTTATCCGGCTGCTCCGGTTTTTTCCCACGTGTGAACATTCATTAAGTGACCCGTAACACCTTAATACATAGAGGACCGCAAGGCTCGGGCAATTGTTGGCGCCGGCTCATCTGCGTGCATGTGGGTGCATGTCTGCGCGTGTCTTTGTGTGCGTGTGTTTGTGCGTGCGTGTGTTTGTGTGTGCGTGCGTGTCTTTGTGTGCGTGTGTTTGTGTGTGTGTGCGTTTGTGTGTGCGTGTGTGTGTGTGCGTGTCTTTGTGCGTGTGTTTGTTTGTGTGTGCGTGCGTGTGTTTGTGTGTGCGTGTGTTTGTGCGTGTGTGCGTGTGTTTGTGCGTGTGTGCGTGCGTGTGTGCGTGTGTTTGTGTGTGCGTGCGTGTGTGTGTGCGTGTGTTTGTGTGTGTGCGTGTGTGTGTGCGTGCGTGTGTGTGTGCGTGTGTTTGTGCGTGTGTGCGTGTGTTTGTGCGTGTGTGTGTGTGTGTGCGTGTGTTTGTGCGTGTGTGCGTGTGTTTGTGCGTGTGTGTGTGTGCGTGCGTGTGTGCGTGTGTTTGTGTGTGCGTGCGTGTGTGTGTGCGTGTGTTTGTGTGTGTGTGTGTGTGTGTACGTGTGTGTGTGTTTGTGCGTGCGTGCGTGTGTCCGCAGGTAAACAACGCCACGGCGCGCGTCATGACCAACAAGAAGCCCATCAACCCCTACGCCAACGGTGAGCGGCGTCCATCGAACGCTCTCACACACGCACGCGGACACTTGAGCAATGCAGCAGTAGATATCACATACACATATATACGGATTACATATACATCACATGAATGTCGTGCTCTCCGAGCATCGATGCCGGTGGGAGAAGTGGGGAGTGGGAGAAGCCAGCGATGAATCTGCCCGGAGTGAGAGATGCTACCATCCCATGCCCCTTCGACACGGCCTGGGACTAGGAGGCATTCCAGGAGAGGTCGTGGATCCAGAACCACCACTTGCACGTTGCCATCGACTCCCAGAGCCCATTGACGTCGGCGGAGGCATTTGAACAGCCTGACCCAAGTTTGAGTCCGAGCCACGACCAACATCAGCGGCGAACGATACTGGAACCGGTCCTGTAGCACCCCTCCCCCCCACCCCTCTACATCATAGAACCAATTGATCGACACGGCGTGCGGTAGGCTTTGATCCGGCAGTAGAATGACGAATGGATGTACGTTGTTGTTGGTGTCATCGTTTAACACGAAGTTGGCTGTTCCAACCGCGTTGAAACTGAATGAGCGCTGAGCGCGTGACCCTGATCGGCTCTCCGAACTTGGCGGGTTCTGCACCCCGAGCTGGGTTCGTTTCGGCAGGCAGCGTCTGTGCCGGCGACGACTTTCATAGTCTCACGGTGAAGGGAAATGATAAAATAATAAAAATTAAACATAATCATTCTCACGACGTTTCGGCCACAATGCAAGCAGCCGTCCTCAGGTGAAGAACAGGTCTGTCGGAAAGACAGCGTCTGAATGATTCAGACAATCACCTGTTCTTCACCTGAGGACGGCTGCTTGCGTTGTGGCCGAAACGTCGTGAGAATTATTATGTTTTATTTGTATTATTTTATTATTTCCCTTCACGGTGGTTCAAGGTTCTAGTTCGTTTAGTTCCAGCAAGGCGAGAAACTCCAGAGACCAGGATACAGTCTCGTTTCGCAAGAGTCAACACAAACAATGACAGCAGCAAAAACGAAAATGAATACCAAATAATAAAAGATTTAACTACTCTTTTTAATGTAACTATTTTTATTTGACCAGGTAAGCCCCGCTGATTTATGCTTGTCTTTTGTAGAAGCAACCTAGCAACAAACGGTAGCTCAGCGAAGTGGCTTATCACGTGGAAATGTATAGCAGCCGAATCTTCTAAACGCGTGTTGTTGATAATAAATATGGAGGGGAAACTTGGAGGACCTGAGGCAAAATCCATGCAACCACGGAAAGAGAGACACGCAAACTCCAAATAATACATGCGTCGGGGTCGGGATCGAACCCACGAACCTCCTGCGTACCAGGCGAGGTAGTTAACATCTCGCCACCACGACGCACCAACAGTGAAGTACACCGACGAAACAGCAGCAATTGCACAAACGTCAGTCACGTTCCCCGGAGCGTAAGTCGGTTACGGCAGATTATTTGTCGACTGATCGTTGCAGAAAAGTTCGAAAAATATGAAAGAGACTATCTTGATTTGAAGCTTTCGTGACTGCAGGAATCCATACTCTTTGGTTCTTTCGGTAAAGTCACGTGGGTAGAAAATAATGATTTATTTTAAAATAATTATTTACTTTTATTTTATACCTACGTGACTTTATCGAAAGAACCAAAGAGTATGAAAGAGACTATTGCAGTCGTAAAACGTTGTACTCGTGGCACCACCATGGCGAGTGGGGCGTCGAGTCAAGCACCTAAATGCAATGGGGGGGGGGGGATAAAATGTAATGTAAAGTCACGTACAAGGGAAATAATAAAATAATAATAAATATATAAAAAAAAAATTCCCTTCTACGTGACTTTACCGATAATGACCAAGAATATTAATCCCTGCAGTCACGAAAGCTTTAAATCAAAAATGTAATGTATAAAAGGGTACCAGCGATGAGAAAGCATGGGAAGTAAGATGGGAAGGATGGGAAAGGATGGGGAGTGAGATGGAAGGGGTGGGAAATCATGGGGAGTAATATGGGAAGGATGGGAAAGCATGGGGAGTAAGATGTAAAAGATGGGAAAGGAACGTAGAAACGGGAGTAGAGGGGTCAGGAGAGGTCAGGATGAGAGAGAAAGAGGCGACACGTGGGCCTCAACGTGGCACGGAGCGGTGTCTGTTTACACAGTGGGGGGGGGAGGCAGCACACAGAAGTCACGTGGTTTAGGAGAGGCTTGAGCTGATGTAAGTTTACGTGGACGTGTAAACGGATAATGACCAGGGTATATGTCTCACCAGCAGCGGGTGTGTCCTGTTAAACCACGCGTCATGTTGGTGTCATTGGCGAGAGCAGCCCATGAAACACCGTGGGTGACGTACCGTGTGTCACGCGGTCTGCTGTAGGACACTGAAAAGGAAAAACCTCACACCCACCCCCCGTGCCACCCAACCCAAATCTCACGCCACTACGAAGCAATCTCAACGTTGCTCATTGGCGTAGCAGTTATTGCTACATCAGCATTTTTTAAAATATAAAACAAGAGTAGTAGTATCATTATTAGTTCTTTTCGCACTCCACCACCGCTGGGGATAGCCCTGGTGTTTAGCGGGATCTGTGAACACACATCCCGTGCCTCTACGGGACAAATTAGCGCTGTTTAAGGAGACAGTTTGCAGAGTTGCGAAAGCTTTGATACATGCATTACTTAAGAACGGGGGTTTTCAGGAAAGGTTTCATTAATAATGATTTAGAATGTGTGAAGCGCGCAGGTATTCTTCTTTCATATGGGAGAGAGGCGAGAGAATGATTCATGGGGCGAATTAATGATAGAGAGAGAGAATGATTCAGCGAGAGAATGAATTATTAATATAGAGAATGATTCAGAGAAAGAATGAATGATTCAAATGGAGAATGAATGATTCAGCGAGAGAATGAATGATTCAGCGAGAGAATGAATGGTTCATAGAAAGAACGATTCAGAGGGAGAATGAATGATTCAGAGAGAGAATTAATGATTCAGAGAGAGAATTAATGATTCAAAAAGAGAATGATCCAGCGAGAGAATGAATTATTAATATAGAGAATGATTCAGAGAAAGAATGAATGATTCAAATGGAGAATGAATGATTCAGCGAGAGAATGAATGATTCAGCGAGAGAATGAATGGTTCATAGAGAGAACGATTCAGAGGGAGAATGAATGATTCAGAGAGAGAATTAATGATTCAGAGAGAGAATTAATGATTCAGCGAGGTAATGAATGATTTAGAGAGTAGTAGTTGGAAGAAAGAATGAATGATTCCGCGAGAGAAGGAATTATCAAGTGATGTATATATAAAATGATTCAGAGAGAGAATTAATGATCTGCAAGAGAATGAATGATTCCGAGAGAGAGAATGCTTCAGCGAGAGTAATATAAAATGATACAGAGGCGTGGGAAAATCACAGGCGTGTGCGTGAGAGAGGCATCCAGAATCCGTGCCAAAAGTTGTCCAAGATATGTAGTCCTCTATTGGGATGTTTGGCCAACTCCATTCACGAGTGGCTGTACACATGTGGGGGGACACTGGAGTATCCGGAGAAAACCCACTCGTGTGAGAGGAAGTAACAATCAATCCCCGTACAGATGGAAATTAAAATTAAGGCAGTGACATTGAACAAATCCCATCATTACAACTTCCTCCTACTGGCCTAACTCCCCCTCACCCTTACCCACCCTTCACCCCCCTTGACCTATGACCCCTGTTCCAGACTCTTGATAATTACGGCTGCTAAGCACGAGGCCAGAGGCCCAAAACGCCAAAAGTCCAGCATCAGCCAGCATGATGGGAGGTGAAACAGGGGACAGCTGATACGGCTTCTTGAGTGGAGGCGAGGATTGTAAGTTCTTGGGAAAAGAGGCGATGAGAGGGGATTATAAAAAGGAGAGGATTGTGAGTGAAGACACAGAGGGAGGTGACCTGCAGTATGGTGAGTCGATTGAGTGAGTGGGTGGATGAATCGATTGAGTGAGTAACAGGGTGAGTCGATTGAGTGAGTAGGTGGGTGAGTCGATTGCGTGAGTGGGTGGGTGAGTCGATTGAGTGAGTGGGTGGGTGAGTTGATTGAGTGAGTAACAGGGTGAGTCGATTGAGTGAGTGGGTGGGTGAGTCGATTGCGTGAGTGGGTGGGTGAGTCGATTGAGTGAGTGGGTGGGTGAGTTGATTGAGTGAGTAACAGGTTGAGTCGATTGAGTGAGTGGGTGGGTGAGTTGATTGAGTGAGTGGGTGGGTGAGTCGATTGAGTGAGTGGGTGGGTGAGTCGATTGAGTGAGTGGGTGGGTGAGTTGATTGAGTGAGTGGGTGGGTGAGTCGATTGAGTGAGTGGGTGGGTGAGTCGATTGAGTGAGTGGGTGGGTGAGTCGATTGAGTGAGTGGGTGGGTGAGTTGATTGAGTGAGTGGGTGGGTGAGTTGATTGAGTGAGTGGGTGGGTGAGTCGATTGAGTGAGTGGGTGGGTGAGTCGACTGAGTGGGTGGCTGAGCGAGTGGCTGAGCGGTAGTGTCGTGGCAACTGAAAACAGAGCGTGGAACCGAAACGTCAGACATCGTAGCGAACTGAACAGGGTTGTATCTGTTTAACACATTGTAGGCTTTCGCGATGAATAATATCATCCAGAATAGAGGTTTTTGGGTTAGATCGCGTAATTATATAAATGTGTCGTTAAAACCCGCCACCACCCGACACTGCCAACTAATAAGGGTTGTCGCGTAAGCAGAACGTGGCCAATTCGTCACTGGTACAGCACTAACCGGTTCTGTTGGAGAGCCAACGTGGCTAGGAGACCGGAGCGCCCGGAAAGAGGCCACGCATGCGAGGGGGCAACACTCGATCCCGCGCACAATGAACAGGTGACATCAGTGCGCACGTGGCTGTACCGCATGGCTCCTCTTCAATGCCCACGGGGAAGAGAGTCTAGCGACACGTTGCTACCTCGAGTGTGGTGATCCTCGCTGCTGCTTCCACAGTGCTGGATTGCAGGCAGATGACGTGCATAGCCGACAACGTCTGCGCTGCGTTGCACGCGTCTTTTTTTACACAGAGGCTACTCGTATATTGGCCCCGCAGACAATACGCAGCACTGGTTGTTGTTGTTATTGCTGCGAGGCTACGATGGATGAAAAGGAGTTCGCCGGTCGTTTAGTGCCGGTCGAGGCTTTTGATGAGAGACGAGACGAGCCCTTTGGTTTGTATTTCACACGACCCGCGCTGCTGTTCCCTTTCTCCCGGCTTCTCCTTGCCGAACGGCGCTCGCGCCTCGCGCTTTGAAACTCCCTCCGTCGGCGAACAAACACGCGCGTCGGGTATCATCAAAAAAAAACCCCAAAAAACTGTTTAAATATTTAACAAGACACCCGGGATAGTTCTGAATGTACTTTGGAATTTTTGTAGCTAGCAGCTCTTCAAACGAGAGGTTTTTCTCTCTCTCTCTCTCTCTGGTTGTTCTCTGTCGTAAACCTAAAAATCCGTGCGCCTGTGCGTCCACGCGGGGAGCGGCGGTGCGATGGTTAGCGCACTGCGCCACGAACCCGGCGACCCGAATTCGATTCACGTCCGTGGCCGGTACCAGTGCCGAACATTAAACACTGTCCCTGGCGCTTCCCCGAGGTCGACTCAACCATACAAAAAACGTGTGCCCTTGGTGCGGTGTGTAAACGTCGCCGTCGGAGACACAACGACGTGGTGCTGGTCACCTCGTGTGCCGTGCCGACTTTTGATCGGTGATCGCTAACAGCACTTGCTCCAAAAGCCCGTGTAGGCTACACTGAGCGACGGGAGCCAGAGGAGGAGGGGAGGGGTGGGGTATCTTTAGCCTTTTCTTCATCTTGATCTCGTGTCACCGCATCCCCGAAGTCTCCACGGCCAAATCCCTTCCAGCATTCGCGTGGCAGAAGCCAGTGGAGTGCGTGTTCCCAACACAACGCCAATTAGTGTACAATTCTAAATGTTACACGTGGCCGGCAATTAGAGGGAGCGGCGCGCCCGTCAGACCCGCGACCCTCACGCCTTCCCTGCCAACCGGAATCTCGCTTTTCTGATATTCGAGATAAATGCCACGAGTCCATTTACTTGCCAAAGCCAATAACTTTGGCGTCACTGAGGTCATCGCGCACACTTCCCCCCACCCCACCCCCCATCCTCTTCCCCACTGCGCGATCCCTTCCCCGTGCCTCGAGGCTCACGTTCACATCCAACACTGCCTCCACAATGCAAGCGAGGTTTGCCCGCGTGGGGCTTTTTCCTGCGCGTTGAACAACTCCTCCCGTCAAGCTTTTCGCCGCGCACTGCTGGCGGGCGACTGCGGGAGCTGTGTTCGAGCTCAGCGCATCGCGATGTGCGTATGGCGGAGGAGGAGGGAGTAGGGGCGGTGAAGGAGGGGAAGGGTGAGGACGGTGATGATGAAGGGGATGAGGCAAAGGAGGAATAGGCTCAGGCAGAGGAGGGAAAGGCTGAGAAAATGGGGGGGGGAGGGGGCGGGGAGAATGAGAGAGGGTGCGGAAGGAGGGAGCGGGAAGAGGATAAGGCGGAGAAAGAATCGGAGGAGGAGGAGGAGGAGGAAGAGGAGGTGAAGGAAAGATAGGGGGTGGAGGATGAAGTGGGAAAGAGGAGGTGGACACGTTGTAGAAGAAAGAGGAGGAGGAGGAAGATGAGGAGGAGGCGGCGTCGTGACGAGGGCTGATTCCGCGGCACGCGTTGCCCGGTCCCCGCGTGCGTAATTTGCGTGACCGCCAACAGCCGCGGGTGCCGCGCCGCTGCGCGCCTGATGCATCATGCGCCGCTGCTGCGGCCAGGCAGGAGACGATTGTTGTGGGAGCAGCGAAGGTGTGGGGGGGGGGTGGCAGGGAGATCGGGGGGCGGGGGGGGGCACACCGATCCTGTAGGACTGATGCTGAGAGATGGCGACGCTCACAGGAGGGGGGGGGGGGCCTGCACCATCGATCAGCCGCGATCCCTCGAACCCGCCAGCTAATTGAGGGGACGTTAATGGAGCTTTGAATGCGGGCGAAATTCATCAGCTCGGCATGGGCTTAATGGCAGGGCTGTCGGGACGGGACCGGGGTGGGAGGGGTTGGGGGGGGGGAGGGGAGGGGCGGGGGGCAGCCGTCGATTCGCCTGACGAGCCCTCGGTCCTGACCAAATCAATAACGAGGGGAGGGTGGGTGGGGGGGCTTTGTGGGTGGGATGTGAAGAGGTTCGTGAGGATCGTGGGCTTGGGTAGTGGGGTGATGGTGAGGGTGGAGGGGGGGGGGGGAGTTGAGGGGGGGGCTGCTTCCTGGGGGGGGGAGAGGGGGCGGTCAGGGTGGAGGACATTCAAGGGGGGCGCGCCCAGGGGGAGGCTGCGAGTCCGGTAATGAGAAGGGTTGTAAAGTGAGTCACCTCGGCACAAGAAATCATCTAACATTTTGCAATTAATAATTCCTCCCCCCTCGGGAAATTTATGGCGCCCTCGGGGGGAGGGGTGGGGGGGGAAGGGGGCGAGGGGTGGGGTGGATGGGGTGGCGTGGGGGCATTGGGGGGGGGGGGCGCTACCCCTGACCGGGGGCTACCTCCACCTGAGTGTGGGGGGGGGTGGCCTCCACGTCTCACCCGCCCCCGATTCCCTCGCCGGCAATCCCCCTCTACCCCTCCCCTCCTCCCTCCCCCTGCCCCCTCCCCCCACACCCCACTGATCGAGGCGCGGCAAATCTCTCCAATGCGAACTGCGTAGCTCCTCACGGCGGCGCCGTGAACGGCTCCTCTGCGTCATCGCATTCGGCCCTGTTGTCCGACTTTTCGCGCCGAGTGCCGGGAGCTTATTCAGCGGCACAAATCTGACTCGCCGCGTGACAACCAAATTCTCGTCTCTGCGGAGCAGGCGAGAGTACGAGGGTCACTCGAAGGTATTCGTCTCGGAAGTAGTTCTATGATGACTCCTTCCCTGCGGGCTGTTCCCTCTCGACACGCCGCCTTGTGATGCGTCGCACCGCCTGTTGAGCTGCGAACAGCTGACGACCACTTCCATGCCGTGTACACGGCCCCTTACGAGACAACTGCATTCAGTTCCCGTGGAAGCATCGCGACTTGCGCGTGAATGGTGCGAAACGTCGGACATCGTTCCGCAAAGAAACACACAGAGACGTACTAAGCAATAAAATATTGTTGTTTTTTCATTTTACCAGGTAAGGCCCACTGAGCTATAAATGCTCTTTTTCGTAAAGCGGCCTGGCCACACATTATTGTTCGACGAAGTTGGTTGATCATCAAGTGAAAATTTAGAGCAGCCAACGACTCTAAACGCGTGATGTTGATCATCAATGTGGAGGGGAAAACCGGAGGACCCGGAGAAAAATCCACGCGACCGCGGGGAGAGAGAGACACCGCAAACTTCAAATGTACAGCAGGCGTCAGGGTCGGGATTGAACCTACGAACACCTTGTAGACGAGGCGAGGGAATTACCATCTCGGGAGTTAGGAAATACATCGCGGGGGGTGAGAAACAATAGGGAATCACTCGCGTTATTCACCTGCACCGCTCGGTTAATCCGAGTCCCGATGAGTCTCAAGGTAACCAGGGCAGGCCGTGTCAAGGGGTGAATAATCGCACTGAATAGTCATCCAGTCATTAGTTAATCACCAACCAGCGATGGACCAGCGTGGTGAAGTATGGTCAAATAACCGTCCCTGCCTCCCCCGCAATGAGATCCTCATCCCAGTAGTGGATCGCCCAAAGGGTCTTGCTCCATTGCGAGATGCTTGGCCCAATTCCTTAGTTTATTTTAAACGGGCAATGCATTCGGTGGAGACAAATGCGCTCACCGATCCGCTGTGCTCCCAACGGCTCACCACCCCGCGGCAAATATCGCACGCGACCCGCAAACCCCTGACCTCCTGACCTGATCCTAATGCAAAGACAAAGGTCCCCCCGAATGTACTTAACAGACTGTTGAGTCGAGTGTTCAATTATCGAACACCTAATCAAGGGCCTGCACTGCACACGAGGGGGTGGGTGGCCAAACAACACTCTCGGCCGCATTTGTCTCCCCAGTGGCGATGTTTACTACACATCGCAGTGGGTACTCTGTCGAGGTTGAGTCGACCTAAAACCTTCCGACGTGCACACCCACATTCCTTCTTTACCCTCCCCCCACTCCCCCGTGTCCCGCCCCCACAGCCCGGTGCAGTGGCACCGCCTGCACACTCGACAGTAGAGAACCCCCCTCCCCTCCCCACCCTGTACACGTGGGCCGATGTTGCTCGTGTGGATGACACCGCGCGTGTCCTGTGACCCGCAGGCTGGAAGCTGAACCCAGTGGTGAGTGCGGTCTACGGCCCAGAGATATATGCAGGTGAGCCGCTCACCATCTCACCCGCACCCTCACCGATGTGCCGTGAGACGTTTGAAACGGCATGTGCGGAAGCTTCATTCAGCAGTGGAAAGACAGTAACTGCTGCTGCTGCGGCTGCGACTGATGATGATGATAACCATGAAAGTACTCTCAGCCTCCGTGTATTTTGCAAAAATAACATCCATCTGTATTTCCTGAATATGTGCCGAGTGGTCGTCTCGTCTTGTTAGGTTAATGCGCTTCTTCAGGAATTGCTGATTGCTTTTTGCATAATGCACACAGGCGCAGTGCTTTGTGGACACGTGTCTGTGAGTTGCTTCTGCTGTTGTTGTTGTTGCTGCTTGGAACGCGTGGTTTTACGGCCTCCACGCCGTTCGATCATTGCGCACGATGACAACCAAACGTTCACGAGCTGAATGTCGGCCTGGAGGTCTTCTGTTGCTGCTGGTCACGACGAGAGGGCTTCAGGAGAGTGAGTTCGTGTGGTGTTGCTGTTCCTTCTCCTCCTCCATTGAAGAAGTGTAAACTACAGTGGTTTTATAATATTTTTAAAAATGTGTTTAGCTTATTTTGTATAGATTTGTTTAGCGATTGGCGCACCTTTGCTATACTTTGCACTACAATCGTACGTTTGTATTGTTGTTTTGTTGTAACGTTCTGACCCGCCCCTCCTGGGCATCTGTGAAAAAGAGCTTAATAGTTCATCGGATTCTTCCAGTATAAATACATATGCTGATTCTGCTTCACTGTATGATCCACAGTTTGGGTTGCATGGCCACAACCTCACGATTGTGACTTATCTTTAATGCGTCTTAAAGCGTCGCATTGTATCTCGATGAGTCTATGTACACTAAGTATACTCTCGTCACAGCTAACTTTACTGTATCTCACTTTAAACAGTAAATTTAGCTGTGACGGTCCCACCTGATGACGGAGACTTGTGTTGCCTCCGAAACGTCGTGATTTATTATTTTATTTCTATTATTATTTCTATTATTTTTATTATTTATTTTTCACCTACGTGACTTTACCGAAAAAACCTAAGAGCATGAATCCTTGCAGTCACGAAAGCTTCAAATCTAGAATTACACTAAGTATCTCTATGGGTCTTTGTCTATCTCTATGGGTCTCTGGCGTCTATGCATTTCCATGTGCACCTATGCACGTCTGTGTGTCTGCAGGGTTTACTCTATATATAGTCCATCGTGTGGCTTGCGTGGCCACGATCGGGCCACGTACGAAGGCGATGTGGTGCCCGTCGACCTGCTGGTGATGTCCTGAGGAGGTCGATTGTCATACCGGTCGCTCCGAGGAGGACTTTCGAAGCGAGTAGAGGGGTGCAATGATGTTGGGGTCCTGAACGAGGCGGTTTTTTGTTTCTCTGGAAGACCACTTGGCTCCACTCTGTTCGCGCAGCAGTAGCAGCAGTAGCAGCAGCGTTCTTCCGGATCTGGGTGAGATTCGAGGATTGTGGCAGTAGCAGCAGCGGCAGCGCGATACGATAATGGGGGGGGGTCGAGATTTGAGTTGGCAGCGAGATGATATTGTTGATGATGATTGGTCGGTGGTTGTCATTGTTACGATGGGTTTTTTTCGCTCTCATAATTGACAGATTCGATGATGATGATGATGATGATGAATCTAATTTTGAGAAACGTCACTCAATTGATCACGTTCGCATGACGTTGAAAGGCACTGCCAAAACCGCATTGGTCTGGCGATGTTCCACGCGATTTAGCCAAAAGGAACAAAACAAGATGAAAGCGTTTTACCAACGACTCGCGGTCCCTGGCGCAAGACGTCGCAGGCTGCACCAAGCCTCGAGCGGCTCGTGGTGGGGGGGGGGGGTGGTCGGTGCGTTGGTGGGAGGGGAGGTCTCTGAGCAGAGTGCAGACTGCTCGCTCCGAGTGTTTATTCTTGTCAAAATCCATCCTCCAGTGGGGGGGGGGGGGGAGGGGGGGCGCTTAAGGGCTCCCTCCAGTGGGAGGCCCCTTACGCCAGCAGTGGCATGGGCGAGCAATTGCAGGACTGCGCCTTTTACCTTCCGAAATCTCCTCGCCGGAGCCTCCGTGGTTCGTGATTGTCGGTTAAGTGGGGTGCTTGGTGGGGTGGTGGAGATCAGGTTGTGTGTGGTTGTGGCGTGGTGGAGGTTGTGTGTGGTTGTGGCAGTGGAGATCAGGTTGTGTGTGGTTGTGGCGTGGTGGAGGTTCTGTGAGGTTGTGGGGTGGTTTTGGGATGGTGTGATTGTGGTGTTGTGGTGCGTTGGGCGATGGTCGCGCTGTTGTGATGCTGTTGTGGCATTGTTGTGATGCAGTTGTGCGATGTCGTGATGGTGCAGCGGTTGTGTAGAGCAGTGTGCGTGTTGCTGTTGTGGAGTGGTTGGTGGTGGTTGGTGGTGGTGGTTGGTGGTGGTGGTGGTGGTTGGTGGTGGTGGTGGTTGTTTGGTTGGTGGTGGTGATGGTGGTGGTAGTTGATGGTTGGTGGTGGTGATAGTAGTAGTAGTAGAAGTTGGTGGTGGTAGTTGTTGGTGGTGGTGGTGGTGGGTGGTGGTGGTGGTAGTAGTAGTGAGTACTCCGCCCATGTGCGCGCTAATGGAAACGAGCGCCAGACCACGGCGGCTTTGGCATCCGAATTCGCTGACACAGCGAAGTAAAAGCCCCCCCCCCTTCCCCCACCCACTTCATTCCTTCACAGAAAAAGTCAACGGACGACGTCGGGCCACGGACAGCGGGAAGGCAATCGCTTTAATGCCTTAATGTACTGTGTGGCTTTCTTATAAAATTGATCTGGCTGCCGGTTTTTTGTTCAGTTGTTTTGTTTTTCTGCTGACTTGAGGCTTACACACGCGCGCGCGCGCACGCACGGACGGACGGACACGCGGTGAAAACACCGCGCGTTTTTTAAACTCGGGGAAGGGAAACAACAACAAAAACAGCAACAGCAACAACGACAACAAAAAGGGGCAAGGATTACGCCAATTCATCTTCTTAGTTCTTTCGGTAAAGTCACGTAGAAGGGAAGTAATAAAATAATAAAAATAAAACATAATAAAATAAAATAATTCTCACGACGTTTCGGCTACAACGCAAGCAGCCGTCTTCAGGTGAAGAATGAGACAATGCCAAGCTAGGAGCTTATATAAGCTGCGTTGGAGGTGGAGGAAAGAGCGCCTTAACAAAAGAATGTGCATATGAAGAGGAATTTAGCATATTCATGGAAAATGCGTAGGAGGTGGGCGGGGGGGTTTCAAAGTCATATTATGCCCATGCATTATGCAGGATCAACAGCACCAAGGGGGGGTGCAGGGATTAGCAGTAACAAAGGAAATGAATGTTAATGATATGTAGCTGCAGTTACTCAACCACCACGTAGAAAACTAAAGTATAAACTACATAAAAAACTAAAGTATAAATAGCATAGCACCATCAGTATACTTACTATACTCTACACTAAGCTGAGTTACTAACAGCAAGTAATACATTACAATTCTACGTCGTAAAAATTATATAATATGCTTCCATCTAAACTTTATTCTATTGCATCACACGAGCATATACCGTACTATATACTGCCAACATTAAATTATATACTGTATTGCTGTAAACCAACCTATATCTTATACATTTAATATAACACTATGTATTATTCTACCCACCCTAATGTGTGTCGAAATGGTTTATTACGTCCTTCCAATGATTGCTAAGCCAGAATCCATCTTCTCGGTTAAAATTGTCTCTGTGTTTGTATATGTGGATCGCCTCATGAACGAATCTCTCATGATAGCCAGATGGCTTGCAGAGAACCTCTGTCTTGGAGAAGTCAATATCATGTGAGCCCACTGAGTTGTAACAGTGATCTGCCACGGCTGAGGTGTTTGTCCTACCGTGTTTCAGGTCAGCTTTATGTTCACGGATGCGGTCCGAGACATGTCGTTTGGTTTCCCCAATGTAACTGCTACCACAGAGGCAACTTAGTTTGTAGACGCCAGGGTACTGTATGTCTGGAACCACATCTTTTACAGACGGTACCAGATCACGGATTTTATGTACTGTGTTGAATCGGACCTGGATCTTGTGTTTAATCAGGATTTTGGAGATCTTTTTTGTGACCCCAGCAATGTAGGGTAAGGTGATGGTCTTGAAAGGCTCCTCAACAGGATCCTTCTTGATGGTTGGAGTGATGGCTTTGCGGATTGTGTAGTCGGAGTAACCATTAACCTTAAGAGCTTGGCGTACGTGTTTGAGTTCACTGGCAATGTGTTCATGGTCGGAGATGCATTGGGCTCTATGATATAGAGTCTTGATGAGGGAATTCTTCTGGGATGGATGGTGGTGGGAATCCGGTTTTAGATAAGCATCCGTATGGGTGGCTTTCCTGTAGACAGAGTGGCTCATTGAACCATCAGGTCTCCTTTTGATTAGGACATCCAAAAAGGGTAGCTTGCCATCTTTTTCGACTTCCATGGTGAATCTGATGGCTGGGTGTATGGAGTTGATGTGGTCGAGAAATTGGTCTAGAGCAGCACGGCCATGTGGCCAGATGACAAAAGTGTCGTCTACGTACCTCTTCCATAAGGTCGGGCGTAGAGTGGCAGTCTGGATGGCGTCCGTCTCAAATTTCTCCATGAAGATGTTGGCTACAACCGGAGATAGGGGGGAGCCCATTGGGGTGCCCTCAGTTTGCTTGTAGAAAGTTTCATTCCAGGTGAAGTATGTATTGGTTAAGCAGTGTCTCACCAGGGGGGGTACCCCAGCATTCAGTCCATGATGAACCAAGTCTTCAATGATTGCGATGGTATCAGGTACAGGAACCTTGGTGTATATGCTCGTGTGATGCAATAGAATAAAGTTTAGATGGAAGCATATTATATAATTTTTACGACGTAGAATTGTAATGTATTACTTGCTGTTAGTAACTCAGCTTAGTGTAGAGTATAGTAAGTATACTGATGGTGCTATGCTATTTATACTTTAGTTTTTTATGTAGTTTATACTTTAGTT